CCTCCTCCTCCTCCTCCTCCTCCTCCTCCTCCACTGTCGCCGACTGCTCCACCTCTCGCCTCCCTCTCACCCCACAACCCCTTCGTGATGGTCAACATCACCCCACGGAAGGAAGACACACATCCACAGGATCCTCAGTCACCTTGAAGGACACGAAGCAGTATGATATAAGGCCACACACACACACCACACCCATGACTGAGATGCTGAGTCAGAGGAAAATAGATCTAGATGATGAAACATACACTTTACCTCTCATTGCACCTGAGCTCCCAAACCCTAGAGCAGGTATAGTAGTGGACGGAGCGCCACAACTAATTACAGTAAAGGTGTTTAGAGCATGGACAGATCAAGATGTGAGAGATGCAACCAAAACCATAACTCGCCCTGAAGAAGATGGCGAAGCCTTTACTGAAGAGACGAACCAACTCTTCAAGAGTTTTGAGTTAAACGCAATAGAAGCAGAAAGAGCAGTTAGAACAACAGTACCAAAACTGTGGTGCCAAATAAAGGGAAACTGGGACCCACTTCTCAATGACGACCCCATCCCTTTTGGTCATGCGGAATATGCTGGATGAGCTGATCCTCTACTGGCAAGAGTGGTTGCACATTATAGAGGACAGGCAAATTACTCAAGAGTGGCAGAATGCAAACAGACACCCACAGAATCTGTGACACTTTTTGTCAAGAGAATGAAAAAGGTGTTCCGCATACACAGTGGCATACCAATAAACGATGGTGATAACAGTCCATACAGCATGCAATTGAAATATGCACTCTTGATAGGACTTAGACCAGAAATCAGCCAGTTTGTGATCAAACATTTGATTGGCTGGAAAAATGTAGGATTGCAGAGAACCATTGATTATGCAGTTCATGCGGAAGAAACAACTGAAGCAAAATAAAAGGAAAAGAAAAGTTACAGATCTTTTCTTGTGTAGCACTTTAAGTTTACAGGGACCAGAGTCTAGATTCAGGTAGAGTGGTTACTAGTACTAAGAATAACAGACCACAGACCAGTGAGTGATTTTTAACTGCCAGATTATTTATATAGAGAATTATTAGAAGAAACAATGATCATATGTTGGTACCAAATATCTCACATACACACATGCAAAGATAAATTGTTCAATATCCCTTCAAAAATTCAAAATGAAACCAAAATCTCAGGAAAATAAGGTTATTTATGCCTATTTATCTCCTTTATGTTTAACCCAACCTATTTGAGTTGGCATATAATTTTATATCTAGGTTTCTTATTGGTTGTTTAGTTACTGGTATCTCCTTTAAGTTTACTCAGTTTAAGTTCTCATTTTATCTCAGTTTAGGCCTATTTATGGGTTTTAGTTCTATTTTTTCTACTTTCTCTTTAGTTTGATTAATCAACTCTATTTATGCTTTAATTCACTTTTACACGACCCATTCATGTAATACCAATTTGGCACACGAGGAAAAAGTGAATAAATAAAAGAAGAAAAAAAAACAACAGTTCAATAAAATAAAAAATACAACTCAATCTCAGAGCTCACAGATCAATGTAAACAATAACTCAAATTTCCACAGTTTGGTGTATTACCAGTCTTTCGGTTATGTCCTTTATCAGTCCATATGAAATTCACTGTGTGTTGCTGCAAAACCTGTCAGTTTTGTTCTACCACGATCCCAGTGTCAGAATCAGTGTCTTTGTCCACGGTGTGCAGGCGAGTTTGCAGAATAGGTGATTCTCTGCTCCGACTCTCTCTCTCCTATGGATGGCTCGCTATCTTCTTTCCACAGCTCCAGGTGTTTTCACACACCGGCGATCCCAACTAAAAAACCTGGCCTGCCATACAACAAGGCAACGCACATGCAGGCATTTTAGCTTCACATAAATCAGGAAAATAAATTAAATTAAAGTTCTAGCACTGAAATATAGGTTAACTATCAACTTAAATCCAAACCGCGACCTAAAATGGCGGCTCTCCTCTCGCTTTCACTCCGCCGCGAGGCAACTTGACCGTGTATGCTCTTTTTTTTAGCTTTTAACTACACATTACACAAATGAAAAACACAAAATACACAGCATAACAGTTGTTCAGACTGCTTTAGCTTAGCTGCGAGTAATATCATCTTCACATTAAGCCTGTAAACAAAGGAATATCCTGTTGATACACATGCTGAAAAAAATAGCTTTTTAACTCACCAAATCCTCGTTCAAAAATGAAATAAAACAGAATCCAGCAACACGGACAGCAGATGAATACAATATCCTCCCAAAAATGAAAGGAAACCAAGGTGTTGAATCTCAAAATACACTTCTTTTACTCCTATTTACTTTCTCCTTTCCTCTCGTTCTCGACTTTTTCGTCTCCCGTCTCTGGTGCTCTGCTCTTACTCTAGTTATTCACCCTCCCTCCAGCACGCGGCGCTTACGTGCTCGGCTGTTACCGTGATCGACTGTTACTGCTGCACTTGTTAAAGGAGCAGTACATATAAAATTAACAACAATTTGAACAGTGACTTACTTTTATATACATTTTGTTACTTTAAACACAATTATTACTGTATTTGCTTACATTTAATATTGATCTAAGCTTCTATTTGTTTGTTTTCATATTTGCCTAGGTTACACTTGCATGAAAATGATGACACTGATGAAATTGCCTTCCGAGGTAACAAGAACCAGAAAAATCACAAAGGGGGAGGAGGAGGTGCGGGCGGTGAGAGCAGAGGAACGGATGTGTGCTACAATTGTGGCAAGCCTGGACACTATGCGAGAGACTGCAGAGCACCAAAGAAATTGGGAAAGAGGAGAGGAGGGGGACGGGAAAGACGGCAGAGTGGAGGAGCGGACCCCAGACAAGAAGAGCAGGAAGGAAACCACTCTGCATGACTAGCTTTGGAATCAGGTCATGCACCCACACCAACACACACACACATATCAGCAGATAGTGAGACAGAAGTAGATGAAATCCTATCATTACAAACTGCAGAAATCTTACTATCACAAGAAGGGTCTAAACCATGGATAGTGTTGTACTTGTACTTCCGGTTCAAGTTGAAGCGTGTTGGAGTGAACTCTGTGTTTGATGCTTGGAGTTTTTGACTCTTTTTTTCTGGATTACGTGACCACTGAGTTTGGAACAAGGACTTTGTACTTTTGCCAGAGATACCCGGTTCGACCTCTGCCTGCCTCAAGACCCTGATTTTGGATAATGGACTAAACGAGGCAAAGAGTAGGAGCGGAGCTAGCTGGCTAATAGTGCAGCCAGCCAGCTAGCCGGTTAGCACAACAAACGCTGGCGCTAGCAGCTGCTCGGCAGCTAACAACAACTTGCTCACACTCTGACACTCACAGCCTGTGTCTACCACGTTGGAAAAATGTGAAATGCCACCAAAGGGGTCTAAGGCGGAGACAAAGCTGGATGAAGAGTATGTATCAGCCAGCCAGGTAAACGAGCTCATGCAACAGCAGAAAGACATGTTCATGGCTCTTCTGCAACAACAAGAAGAAAACTTTAAAGGCTTTGTCCAAATCATCGTGGACTCCACAAACTCCAGGCTAGATGCAATAAACCGGGACATACAAGATGTCAAAACAAGCCTACAATACACACAGCGAGAAGTGGACAACTTGAAGGATGACAACAAGAAGCAGGATGATTGCTGCAGCACAATGCAGACAGACGTATTCAAAATCTGTGACCAGCTTGCTGACCATCACAGACAAAATGGAGTATCTGGAGGGACAGGGGAGCGTACCTATGTTCCCCGGGTTCTATGTTCCCCAGGTCCTATGTTCCCCGCTTTGTATGGGACCCCAAAAGGGTCCTATGTTCCCCGCTTTGTATGGGACTGGGGAACATAGAACCCTTTTTAATAATAAGGGTTCTATGTTCCCCGCTTTTCCCTAAAAGGACCCGGGAAACATAGGCCCTTTTTTTTAAAAAAGGGTCCTAACCCCTAACCCCTAACCCTAACCCTAACCCCTTTTTCTCAAAAGGGTCCTATGTTCCCCGGCAACAGCGGGGAACATAGAACTCTTAAAAAGGGTTCTATGTTCCCCGGTCCCATACAAAGCGGGGAACATATTTCCTTTTGGGGAAAGCGGGGAACATAGGACCCTTTTTTTTTTAAAGGGTCCTATGTTCCCCGATCGGGGAACATAGAACCCGGAGAACATAGAACCCGGGGAATATAGGGATGACCCCAGGGAGAGTCCAGACGCAACAACCTGGTGTTTGATGGAATAGCAGAGACACCGGGAGAAACATGGGCAGACACGGAGGAGAAAATAAAGAAAGTCCTGGCTGAGAAGCTACAGCTGCGGCACGAGGTGGAGGTGGAGAGAGCGCACCGCAAAGGGAAACCCGGAGGAGACAGACCGAGATCCATCGTGGTCAAACTCCTGAGGTTCAAGGACAGAGAGGACATATTGCGACGTACAAAGTCGCTCAAAGGATCGCTCAAAAGTCTGCGTGAACGAGGACTTCACAGACGCTGTAAGGCGTAAAAGAAAAGAACTGCTGCCGGAGATGAGAGCTGCGAGAGAGAAGGGGGACATCGCATACCTCCGTTACGACAGACTGGTTGTCCATCCACGGACCTGCAACACTCCGAAATAAACTGAGAGTTACATGACAAAGAAAGGTATGTGAAATAAAACACTTCACATGGCCAATAATACAACTCATACACATCCTGAAGCTGACTGTTTGTTAAAAAGAATTGATGAACTTGAACATCTGGAATTAAACACCTTTCAATACACTAAATTGATCTTAGCCTTATTAGAAGCTATACTACTGCCACTGCAGATAGCAGTATGTAAATGTGCCGCTCACACTTCCGGAAATGATCCAATCTCACAGGGAAGCTGGAAGGCAGATGAGGAAGTGAAAGCGGCTGGAGCCCGACAAGACTACCAAGACATATACACAGCTGAGCAAATTACACACATTGATCATGATATTTTAAAAGACATGCAACAAAACTCGCCCGACTCAGAAAAACAGTTCTGGGCAAATAAAAGGGCGACATTAACTGAAAATGAGTTATGGAAATGACCAGAAGGAAAGTACATTCTTCCAAAAAATTTATTTCGATTTGCAGCAGTATTGACGCATGGATTAACCCATATGTCAACAGGAGGGATGTATGACCTAATAAATAAAATATACACAACCTATGGATTCCAAAATTATGCAAAGATTTTTTGTGCATCATGTCTAGTGTGTGGAAAACAGAATGTTCAAGGTAGATTCAGACCAAGGCCAGGCAGGATGCCAAATGCACAATACCCATTTCATACTATATGCATGGATTTCATTGAATTGAATAAATGTGAAAACAAAAAATACTGCTTAGTAATCATAGACATATTCAAAATGGATTGAAGTCATTCCAACAGTAAAAAATGATGCGATAACATACAACCTAACAATACAGGACTATTACCTTTTGAAATCCTATAAGGTAGACCCTACAGAATACCTCTAATCAACTTAAAGGGAGACGACACAGAATTAACGGAAACAATTGTGGACTATATGAGCAGAATGTTGAAAAACAAAGAAACTGTCTACAGTTCTCTTGCCCACAGAACCAGTCTCTGACCAAACGACACCTGTGAAGCCAGGAGACTGGGTTTTCATCAAAACACTCAAAAGAAAAAACTGGAGCTCCCCGAGATGGGAAGGCCCATTCCAAGTGCTGCTCACAACACTCACGGCAGTGCGTATAGCTGAGAGAGTGACGTGGATACACCTGACACACTGCAAACGAGCACCAATACCAACAGATAAGTAATAATCAAAACAAACAGGTCAATGATAACTGCTGGAGATTACACATTTGTAGAGTCAAACCATGTACCAGTCCATCAAACTCCAGGAGGAAGAGCTTTACTTGCCTGGAGTAAGAAACAGCTAAGGTTACAATTCATCTTAATTACATTCATAATTCTATCCACTAGCCCTACTAGTATTCTACATTGTCACACACTGGTAAAATGGAAAGGGATATAGGGCCATGGCACCCATTCAGGAGGATGGGATGGGGAATGAGGGGGGTCCATATGTTTCCTCACAGTGGTTGCAATAATTATAGTGATACCGATTCTCTGGACCTGCGAGCAGTATGACGGTGAAGGGATGACAAATGCGACTTAGATCCTACCTGGGAGCGTAGTCCCACTCCTGAGAATAAGGCGAGGTATCATAAAACCTAGAGCAACCATCTATTGCAGCTCTGGAGAATCCCCATGTGTGGCTAAAATAGATTTTTGTGATGTTGCAGCATGTGGAAAGGTGAATCAGGAAACCTTAGCAGGAGCGGACAAGTACTTATGTGTAACAAGACATTTGAATTCGAAAGGGGGTTGGGGAGCTTGGTATGAAGAATGGAGCCTAGTAGGGTGGAACACCGGAACACAAAACTGGAATTATAAGCCATGGATAGCAGCATCCGGGACCTGCGGAGGAACACGACCACCACTGTTAGATAGGCTCACCATTTTTAAACCTGCTCACCAACCAGGTTGCGGTAAAGGAGAATGTAATCCCTTGATAATAACAGTAAAGGATCCTTTTCCTGAGGATTCAATGACTCTCGTGCTAGCAGCATATGTTAAAGGAGACAACCCTATAGGACACTTAGGTTTAGAGGTCATAGATTCAGGGACGACTTCTCCACCTCTACCTGCAGGGCCAGATGTTCGCCTTCATGACATGACTATGACTACCACACTGTCACCTATCGCAACAGATAGAAACAACCCAGTACAGTATATAAAGGTTGATGACTTACAGGACGTACTAGAATTAGAGACAGGTCATAAGGACGACAGTGCATGGCTACGATGGATTTCTTTCACCACTAAAACTTCCGGACTAGCAACTGACTGCATAGCTTGCGCAGCAGCAAGGCCATCATTGGGAACAGTTCCCTTTCCACATAATCCTTACAATGATCTTCAAGGGTTCAAGTGTATGCTCAGTTTGTACAAAACTGACTCTTCTGCAAATAACTGTACCACTCTCAAGTATCTGTTTCCAGCTGTCTCCACTAAGGTTATTTTACCATTGTTCATGCTGTACAAGGGGAACTATACCTGCCTGTCCAGAGAACGCGGATTGAACGGAGGACAAGGAGTGGGAGACCTAACAGGTTGTAATACTACAATTGTAGTGAGGAAGAATCCCTATGGGATTACTGATGACCTGGTAACTAATCACGAATATGCACGCTCAGATACGTGGTGGTACAGTGGAGGAGATAAGTTAAGACCCAAGCTACCTAAACTCTGGTATGGTACCTGTGCTCTAATTCACTTAATGATGCCTACTTACTTGCTTCCCATGAGTCCACAGTTTCCCAAGCTGACATCAGAGGAAATGCACAGAGTCAAACGCGACGCGGCAA